TCCTGCCCCGCGGGCCGCCACCACCGCCTCCCTATTACGAGCCACCCCAAGCAAGGGCCTCTCACTCACTCACTCTCTCTCTCTCTCTCTCTCTCTCTCTCTCTCTCTCTCTCTCTCGTTTTCTCTCTGCTTCCCCCTCTCCCCCTCTCTCTCCTCCCCTCCGCGTCACGCAGAGTTGATCTTCGTCCTCGTCGCACGCCTTAGTCCCCGCGGCTATCGGCGGGCTTCCTCCCCTGATGCGATGAGGCCAAGGGAGATTGATGCCTTGCTCTGCCGGCTGCTGTTGCTGCTGCTGTACCGCCGCCGCTATGGGAGATTCTGTTAAATTTCGAAACGTTGCGCGCGGAATCTATCCGACATTATTAAAATTATAATTTGCCGTCCTCCGCCGCGCGCGCCGCCCCACTGCTCCCCTAAAGAGCGGCCCCCCTTACACGCCCTTACCCACCGCTAATGCCCCCCCCCCCTGGCCCCCGCAAGTGTTTCGCCCGCGGGGTACGTGGCCTCCGGGAGCGTACGTCCTCTGCAGCAAACGAGGCTGACCTCCACGGCCGGGCGGCCAGAGAGCGATGGCGCGCCACTCTCGGGCCAGGGAGTGTGTTTGCGTGTCGTGTCTGAATAGCAGGGTCCTGTGTTTTGCGCCGGCGACGCGCTCGCTTGTTCCTCTTATTTCGACGATGGCTCCGGTCCGTTCTCCCGTGACTGCCCTCCCGCCGCCCCCAGCACAGCAACGAGTTCTGACGCTCGCTGATACCCAAACGTTTTATTATTGTGTGTTGCAGACATCGTGCAGTCCATGAAGGAAGGCGGGCGGCCGCTGTTCCGGCCCGGCGTCGACCAGCTGTCCTGCGAGGATGAGGTGATGAACCTGATGCGGCGCTGCTGGGCCGAGGACCCCGCCGAGCGGCCCGACTTCTCCGTCCTCAAGCAAACCATCAGGAGGCTCAATCAGTGAGTACACTCAAAGTGGGAACAAAACGACCGGTTCTTTTTAAAATGGACAATCTACAAGGTACGTGCAATGTCTATTTTTTTTTAGGGAGAAGGGTAAACTTTGAGGAACTCCTGTAGTTTGAGTAAGTCTCTTCAAAAAATGTGTGAATTTCCCAGTTCAATCAATTATGAGAATTTCTCAAAGTTTTTCTCTTTTTTCTCAAAAGATCAGACATTATGTTCGTCGTGTAGTTGTCGAAAATAACATCAGACACCGATGATCGCACGCCTCAACGAGTCATCATAAGCTTGAAGAGGTCGTCTCCTGATCAGAAGTGAGGCCATCCTGTAACTCGCGGGGTTCACTCAGAGCCGGTTTTGGAGGGTCACGCTTGAGCTGAGCCGCGCTCCGCACGCGGGCTGGCCTGGCTCCCAACGTAATTTTTCATTTAATGAATATTTGAAAGCGATATCACAATACAGCATGGCTGTATACAGTATTGTCCCTCTCCCCACCCTCCCGTCGCCCGCCAATCTGCTCTATCGCTATTCACGATGTTCTCTTTTGTGCGCCCTTGCCTATATGCCCCCCCCCCCTTTACCCCCGGCCCTCCCAGCAATCAACCTCACTGTCGCCATTTTCGGCAGTGTAGCCGTTTACTACCTGTTCCGAAACAGCGGCGATCAGGACGAGACATGCAAAACGGACACACGCTTTATGGCGATGGTCGGGTATTAAAGCGCAAGCGCCGTGCCAAACACGTTTGGGAATGACATAGTGGCCTACAAACACAGTATACACACATCCCCCCCTCACTCAGTGAGAGAGCCAGAGAGCGACTACACTATCTATCATGAGCACAGCTTCATGTGCAAAGCCCTTTCTTCATCCGGCCAAACGGAAACGGAAGAGCAGCAGAACCCTCGGCCAAATGCTTCGATAGCTACAAGTATATATTTCTTTTTCGCGAGCTTCGCATCTCCCCGCTCCTCTCGCTCTCTCACTCTCTCTCACTCTCTCTGCTGTCTCTCTCGTTTCTCTTCCGGAGGACGGAGGGCAGCGCCTGGGAGGGTAGAACGAGAAAAGTGAGAGGGCGCGGCTCACACTGTCAGTGTGTCAGAGAGAAAGATAGAGGGAAAGAAAGAAGGAGCGTAGTGAGAGGCCAGAGGCCAGCCCGCACTGCCAGGGGTGCCCGACAGCCGCGCCAAACACTAGAATTGATCCCGCTTCAGAAAATACTGTATATATACTTTCTTTCTCCTATCATTTTATTTTTTTGTACTTTCTTTTTCGAGATTGTCGTGAGGCCGTGTAGCTCGGGCCGAGTCTCATAACCCCATTGTTTCCCCCC